ATATATATAAAACCCAGAAGAATATTGCCTCCCTCCTCTCTCATTCAAGAACTTCCAAAAAGAGTTTAGTTGACCTACTCTTGCAAGAAATACTCTTTATGTATTCCTGTATGTATGTATACACACACAGCCTCCAAACTCACCTCTTCTCCCAGCCAGATGTTCTCCAGATGTTCCTCCAGAGCCACACAAGGCCAGCACCTGGCTTTGCAAAGGGAATAAATCTGAGCTAAAACAGGGAGGAGGAGCTTTTTTTCCTTGCAGGCTGACCAACCCACTCCTCTTTTTCCAAGGCTGAGAAAATTGGGAACTGGATGGAGGCTTTGGCTTTCAGTCTTTGCAGGACCTTCCTGGGGAAATAAATCTCAATTTTCTGGTTCAAGGGAATGTTCCCTATTGCACAACTCACCTGGGAAGCCCTGGCTGTGACCCCTGGGCAACCATTGAAAGGTGATCAGGAGTCAATTCCCAGCATAATAGGACTAAAGAGGGGTGTTAAAGACTTGGGAAATGGCTCTGATTGGCATCACCAGGCTTGAAAGAACTAACTATTAGGCTGACATTCAACAGGGGAAGCCCAGCCACTCCTGGTTCCATGCCCTTGCTGCATTTGATGCTCATCAGGCTGCTTGTTCAAGGGGTGAGGATAAAGGTAAGCTGCAGAATCATCCCATTTTAAGATTTAAAGGGACCCTTAGAGGTCATCTAGTCAAACCCCCTTAACCAATGAGTGACAGGACATTGTAGACCCTTTGGCTTAAATCCAGTGCTTAGCCCAACTGGAGCATTGTATCCAGAAAACATATCAGGGGTAGCTGTGTTGGCCATAGAGCAAAGTAAAATAACATCCAAAATCCACAAAACAGAGATACCTTGATGGGGACAACCAAAATGCACACAGTATACATGATACAGGCTTTTGTGTCATCAACTTTCAGGATCCATTCTTTAAAATCATCATTGTGTCTCCAGGCTTCCTGAAATGCAGGCTTTTGATGCTCCACTGGCTTCTTCATCAGACAAAGAGGTTAGAAATCATTTATTTTATTTTATTTTTTATTTTATTTTATTTTATTTTATTTTATTTTATTTTATTTTATTTTTTATCCCGCCTTTCTCCCAAAGTGGGACCCAAGGCAGCTAACAACATATATAAAGGGTTATAATCTCAAAGGGGCAGGATATAAATAAATAAATTATATATATATATGTATATATATATATATATATATATGTGTGTGTGTGTGTGTGTGTGTGTGTGTGTATATGTATATATATATGTGTGTATATATATATATATATATATGTATGTGTATATATATATATATATATATATATATATATATATATATATATATATATATATATATATATATATATATATATATATATTATAATAAATTATTATAAAACAGCAATTTAAAATAGTACAATTAAAACAGGAGAAAAAAATAATAATATGACAGTGTGAGTCACAAGCCTGCATTTTTTAAGATCTTGCCACTATTTTGTGGATTTTGGATGTCATTGTACTCTATAACATAGGAATGAAGGGAAATATACCCAGTTTTAATCCTGTATGGTTTTTTAACATCTGTGCCTGAAGAAGAAGCCAGCGTATGTCTTTTGTGCATTTTGGTTGGCCAATAAAGGCATCAATGTTGTGTGAATTTTGGATATTATTGTACATAAAAGAGTGACCGGACATTGTAGACTCTCTCTCTCTTTGGCCTAAATCCAGTGCTTAAATCCAAATGAAGTATAAATCTGTTGAATCCATAGAATGGATTAAAAACTATACTGTTCAAAGAAGCGTTCACAGGCATTGCATGATGATTATTTGATGTTTTTAATTTGTTGCCTTCTTTGTATTAATATGTTTTATTTTATTATTTTGTAGAATATGTTTTGTTTTATTATTTTGTAGAATGTATGCCACCGGCAGGCTTTTTAAAATCTATTTTTATCTATTTTATTGACTGTATGTACAGCGCTGTGCAAATCTACAGTGCTATACAAATAAACTGTAATAATAATAATAATAATAACAACCAGATTTGAGTTGTGGCAACCAGAGTGGTTTGAGTGTTGGACTGTGACTCTGGAGACCAAGGTTCGAGTGCCAGCTTGGCTATGAAACCCACTGGGTGACCGTGGGCAGGTCACACTCTCTCAGCCTCAGAGAATGGCAATGAGAAACCCTCTCTGAAGAAATCTGGCCAAGAAAACCCCACGATAGCTTCGCTATAGGGTCGCCATAATTCGGAAATGACCCGAAGGCACACACAATAATAACAAATGACCTATGAATGAGAGAGAACTCCATCATGAACCTCAGTTACCAACATCCTGCTCTGGTCTTGCAAACTCAGGGCCTTTGCAGACTGCCAGAAATAGTGCAAATTGAGTCCACTTTAAGGGTTAGGGTTAGTGCTAGGGAATCATGGGAATTGTGTTGTTTTTTTCTGAGACATTGAGCCTTCTCTGTCAGAGAGCTCTGGTGCCACAGTAAACTACAGTTCCCATGATTCCCTAGCACTAACCCTTAAGGCCCTCAGAGTTGCAGCTTCCTTAATGGGATCAATCCATCTGGAAAGTAGTCTTCCTCTTTTCCTATTGCAGGGGTAGGCAACCTTTCCCCTTTAAGGGCCGAGGGACTTCAGCTCCCAGAATCCCAGGAGCTATTGGCCAACATGGGACTATTGGCCAACATGGCTGAGGCTTCTGGGAGCTGAAGTCCCTCAGCCCTTAAAGGGGAAAGGTTGCCTACCCCTGACCTATTGCCTTCCACTTCACCAAGCATTATTGTCTCTTCTTTTTCATGATATGCCCTAAGTATGATGGCCTCTGTTTTAGCATACCTTCTTGCTTTGGCAGATAATCCTCTCTTTTCCCACCCTTAAAATCATAGGATCTCTTGGAGTGCATCTAAAATAAGGACAGCCTTAAAATTAATACATCCTACATTTAAATGACGCAGCTCCATCCTATGGAAATCCTGAGATCTGTAGTTTTACAAGGCCTTTAGCCATCTCTGCCAAAAAGTGCTTGGTGCCTCACAAAACTACAGATCCCAGGATTCTGTAGGATGGAGCCACAGCAGTTAAAGTGGTGTCAAATTGCATTATTTTCTACAGTTTAGATCAGTGATTCCCAAACTCTGGCCTTCCATATATTTTGGTCTTCAGCTCCCAGAAGCCTCAGCCATCTTTGCCAATGGTTTGGGATTCTGGGAATTGAAGTCCAAAAACCTTGAAGACCAGAGTTTGGGAATCACTGGTTTAGATGCACCCTCCTTACTCTCAGGCCCATTAAAATAATAATAATAATAATAATAATAATAATAATAATAAT